GCTTTGTGTTTATATATTCTACTGTTAGGATTGTTCCAAGGAACTTAATAAAATTTCTTTGCAGTACAATGTTACAAAATAGGTTAACTGTATTCTAACTTTAAATACCCTAAATTATTTAACTTAAGTGAGTAACAAATTCAAATATAGCAAATTTTTTTTTCTATACTGCTTTGGATCCTCTAGGCTTGATTGTTATAAATATAAACACTGTGTTTTTGACTTCTTATTTAATTTTAGGTTACCAAGGAAGACTTTGCCACATTTGATTATATACTATGTATGGATGAAAGCAATCTGAGGTAATCACATTTTTTAAAGGGTATTTCTGTTCAACTCTCAGTTCAGTAATAAGCCAGTTGTTTGTTGTCGAGAATGATTTTTTTATTATCTTTTAAGTTTTAAAGGTAGTGATGGTCAGAACATACAGAATGATCTGTTTAGAGTAGTAAGAAACCAGTGAGGAACTGAGAACTGTCTCCCAGGTGTATTTACACAGAGACACGCTTTCAGGTAAGGGAGAGCCTGGTTGGCAGGGTATGACCTGAAGGCTGGCTGGGCCGTGAGCACTTTCCTAGAAGGTGGGGTTGGTTTTACAGGAGAGCGATGATTCCGCTGCTGTAGCGATTCATGGGCTGTGTGGCGTTTTACTGTGTTTCTCACGTTATCCCCCCATTACTGCTGCCCCCAGCCCCCAAAAAGGAAGACGGACAAAAAGGGAAACTTTAGTCTCTGAACTGTTGATTGCGTTAATGGATATAAAAACGAAAGCAGACAGACTGGGGTATTAGGTCACAGTGGCTAGCTGTGCTGTGGCATGTATTAGGTGCTCTGCTCACCAAAGCACTTCACCCTCGCTCTGCGCCTTATCAGAGAGGCACGAGAGATTAAGTTACTTGCCCCAGTTCACAGAGGGAGCAGATTGGTGTGGTGGAATGTTAGCCTCGGCTTTGTGAAACAGAGCCTGACGTGTGTCTCACACGAACTGTACTCAGCACTGTGCCCTGTCGCCTTGCTCGGGGACGTGCATGTGGGCAACAAGGAACTTTGTGGCACTTCTTGAGTGAGCTTTGTGTGCCTGGCACAGTGCCAGGCCCTGGGAAGCAAGGTTGAGGAGTTGTGGGTGCTGCCTACCCTTGAAGTATACAGTCTGGCCTGGGCTCCATGTATTCACCCAGAATTAACCCTGACAGTATGATACCATGCAGTCAGGCCCAGAACAGGTGATCACGATGTATTCTACAGATGCTGAAGCTAATGCCGGGTAAGTGACCCAAGGGAGTCGTAAGGCCGGGGCCCTGTGCCCCTTTGTCACCCTGCCACTTTACTGTTCACTGTGCTGAGAAGCAAGACCTCAGCCCGCCTGCCACCCCTCCGCACTCTGCTGGCACAGAGAAGGACCAGGATGTGCCCCCAGTAGGACTGCAGGGATTTCTTCACTGAAATCAGTGCTAGTTCACAAGGGTTCCACGTGTTTTATGAATAGAAACTGTTTCTGCTTTTAATTGCCTTTGTAGGAGTGTGCAGATACGGTGCCCAGCTCTGCTTCTGTTTTTATGAATCAGGAGCATCACTAAAATACATACATGTTCCATTTTTGTCTTTCAGTTGTTGATTTGTTTAGTTCTCACTTTGCTCGCTTACAGGTGTTGTGGGTAGCAGTGCTGTGCTCAGTAACACAGTGTCCAGGGTGGGGGGTCGTCCAGAGCAGGGTCTCTGGAGAGCAGCTGGAGTCCGAGCTTCAGCCTGGGCTGCTCTGGGGACGCGTTCTGTTGCTCCGAGGCCTGGCCAGCCTTTCCGCCACACCAGCATGGTGTCTGACTCATCCTAGGTGCTCAGTGGGGCTTTGTCAACTAAATGGAGGAATGATCAAAATGCAGCTGAGGAACTTGCCGCTTTACTTGGCTGCCACGTGAGCGCAGGGGGCGGAGGCGGCAGAGCCCGGTCAGAGGCTGGAGGAGTAAGAGCAGGAGAAGGGGTTGAACAGGGAGCCTCGCTGCATGAAACGCCGTGTCCAGACACTTTGGGATGGGATTGGCAGCCCTTTGGGACTTGGTTCATGTGGCTTCTTGAGTTCCATTCTGCCACCTTTATTTAGTGTCTGGAATAGCAGCTTTTTGATGTAATTGTCTCACCATGTATTTCACAGGAGGATACATCATTGTTGTCTGACTTAGGGATGCATATTTTGTGTAAAAGCATTTGTGAGAATGTGCCGCCTTCGCAAACCCTCCTGCCGGCATCGGAAACCTGTGGCTGGGAGGGTCACACAGGTCTGCCACGGGTTTGGTTTCCTTTTTAAATCAGGTCACGCTTGCTGGGTTTTGATGTGGATATTTCATAAAACCCTAGCAGATGTCCCTGTTTAACTTGAAACCATAGATCAGAAAACTAAGTTCATGTTTCAATTTTACAGAGACTTGAATAGAAAAAGTAATCAAATTAAAAACCGCAAAGCTAAAATTGAACTACTTGGGAGCTATGATCCACAAAATCAGCTCATTATTGAAGACCCCTATTATGTAAGTACACCTCTCATTTCTGTCCTGATGCTGGTGTACATGGGGATCATCATGTGGGATGAGCCCGGGTGTGTGTCCTGCCATGTGCAGTAACAGATTAAGGTTCTCCTAAGAGCATTTTGTTATGCAGGCTTTGTTATTTTTTCTTCCCCTGTGCTTTCAGGGGAATGAGTCCGACTTTGAGACTGTCTACCAGCAGTGTGTGAGGTGCTGCAGGGCCTTCCTGGAGAAGGCCCGCTAATGCCACGCCCGTTCTCCCCACAGCCCCCGGCTGGGCCCCGCAGGCTCTGCTGTGAGGTCGCAGCTGTTTCTTCAGTTGACCCTCGGTTTCTCACCTTAAATAATTGTAGATGGAAATCAGTTATTGTATCTGACAGACAAATAAATAAAAATGTTTCATCCAGACAGTTTATGGGGTACGCGAAGTGTTCTTAGACCCGCTGAACCTCCCACTTTGCCCCAGTTACAAAAATAGTGGAACAAACAAAATCGAACAGGCACCAGAGCATGAGGACATCCAGCGTCCCTTTCGGGCACACGAGCTCTGCCTCTTCCTCAAGTTTGCGGACGACCGATGGGGACCCTGTCCTCCGCTGTCTGCACAAGCCAGCCCCAGCAGTCCATCCACGGGAGCTCCCAGCCGAGACTCACCCTTGCTTGCAGTGCACACTGTTTACATAGAAGAATTAAGGTGTTAGTCTGCAGAACCTTTCCGACCTGCTAGTTTATTTCATCAGGAAGTCAGCTTGATTCCATTCGAACCATTTTGCCTCTGGAAAGTTACAGCCAGAAAGAAGGACACTGTATGCTGGTTTATCTTATTGTCTGAGGAACGTGTCTGCTTTTCAATGCCTGTAGAACCCGAATGTCAAATATAGATTAGCCTAGGTGGGAAAAAATAATTAAAAAGTCGGGGAAAGTTCTTTTATGTCGAGCTGCTTAAATATTGAGACATTAAGTATTCTTTCATCAGTGCTTAATTTACAGACACATACAGGTAATTTCTGTACACTTGGAGGTAACTAATCTAAAATTCATATGGCTATATGGCAGAAAAGATTGTTTTCAAAATAAACTGGGGAAATTATAAAAATACAACTAAGAAGTCTGGTGTCCGCCTGCTTTTTTATTGATAAGTGAAGAAGAATTAGAAAACAATGCCTTTATTGTCCCTTTCAGATGACCTGTGATGTTATATGTGCATATTTATCTTCAGCTTTATTTAGGAAATAAAATGACAAAAGTAAGTACATTGCTTCCACTTCTTTGTGAAAGAAGTTTGAGGGCCCTGCGGCCATATGTGTCCTTGCCTGACCCAGCATCTGTGGAGTGCGGCAGTCTCCTCCGTGGAGCTGGCTCTCCAAGCTGGGCCTTCCTGGGTGGCATGGCTAGATGAGTGAGAGTTTGCTATGCTCCCCTCTTCACCGGGATTCACAGCTGGTGGCCTGGAATCCTGGGAGGGCCCCGAGTCATGGATCAGTCTTCATCCAGAGCCCGAGTGGACCCTTGCTCAGAAGTAGGAGGAGTTTGGAGGAAGAGCTGCCCCATCAGGGTGGCCGCCTCTGCGTGTTGTGAGGCTGCCTGACCTCAGAACCTGAGGGTCCCGGCTGGGGGGTCAGGTGGGGCATTTAGTCCTGGAGGATGAGCATGGTGGCTTTGCCACCACCCCTCCAGGATGTGTGTCTGGCCCCCTGTGGGATTTCCCAAAGACAGTCCTGCCTGAAAACTCTTCCTCAGGCTAGTAGGAACCTGGAGAGCTTACATGGATTAAGAAATTGGTGATGATGCTTTAAAAAGTAAAGAACTGAGCTGAAAAGATGAAATAATTAGAAAATAGGACTAAGAGCGCTTTAGAATTACACTCTGCCCTAATCCTTCAGTAGTTGCTTAATAATCTCAAAGTATTTTCATACTCTGTTCCTTCGTGATCATGAAAAAATCCCTATAGTTTGTTTTCCTTACTGTTTGCATCTGTATCTTAAATACGGACCTCAGACATGTCCTGGGAATCATGTCTACTTTATCCTTATGGCTGTATCCAGACTAGAGGTCCTGTGAACAGAGAAACTCAGTGTTGAATTCACTTGTCATAAATTGGATGCAATCAGATTTGTTAAAAATATATCACCTGTAAAAATCAGAGCTGCTTAGAAGTCTTACCTCTTAGTTTTTTCATGATTATGAAGTCACACAGGAAAATACAGACGCAACCTTCTTTAAATATTCACCCCGTATCAGACTCTGTCTTAAGACATGCCACCATTACATAGCAGTGTCTCCTTTTAAAAAACGCCAATTTAATTGTCCCTTCCAAGAATTCATAGCCTTCCCTTTTTATGTATTACGCCTTTTATATTCCATGACATTCTGCCAGTGTTAGGATCTCTTCATCGTTCTGTAAATCAGGAATTCCCACCGGTGAGCTTGTTAGAAGTAAAGAGTCACTTTGAAGACTTCGTTATAACAAACATTTCGTTTATTACCTGTTTTATTTACAGTATTTACATATTGCACAATATCTGGATACTATCTTACATTTATGATAGAAAGAACAAATGAAATTAGCCTGGATATGTTCACAGACTTATACTCCACTATCTCCAAAACATGACGAGTTTTTTTTTTGTTTTTTTTTCCATGCAGTTCCAAATAATGCTCTGGGAATTTAATTGTAAGAGTAACAAAAATATTAAATCATACCATATGCTATATGAAAATATAGTTTCAGATTCTATTTATGTTTCTAAAGAAATACTCTTTGAGATTTCACCTAATCAGGAGAATGAAATAGCTTTGTCTGTCATTTTATAGCACTACACATCAAATGCGGAGCATTCGCCTTTTCCCCCAAAATCACGAATGGCAAGTGTTACTGTCAGGTACGCTGATTAACTGAATATGTATTTGCCAACAGTGTCAACAACATACAAAACTCAAGTTAAAGGGTTTATGGAAGAGTCAGTCTGCAAAAATAAATCTCTTGTTCACAAGGGGATGTGTTCGTGAAGGTAGCAGGTTCTGTTCCCTGTTGATTTCCAAGGCACTTCTCATGGTTCGTGGGCTGTTGGTCCTTTGCAGCTCTGCTCACTGCTGAAAAACACATTTGGTTTCATAGAACGTCACACTTTCTTACCAATTCTAGAAGAAGTATACATCAAATGACGTAACAATGTGTTTGAAAACACAGGGGATCACAGTCTGCATGTGTATTTCTCTCTGTTCCAAAAAGTGTAATCTGTTTTATTGTGGAAATAACCAAGTTCTACAGTTGTTACAGGCCTACTGTGCTAAAGGAATGAAAACCATCACTGGTACTAAAGTCTGAAGACCAGCCCATGGTCCTGATGTGTGTTGTCAAGTCCTCTAATTGGGGCCACAGTGATTGACAGCCTGGCAGTCCTGAGAAACCGCTCATTGGCCCTTAAGCCTCCATCTGCATGAGCATTTGCAAAACTAAAAACCAAAAATAAACCCTTTTTTCTAGCACTCCCTGCAGTGTACCCAAACCATTAATGAATTAAAATTCATTAATTTTAAAAATAATGGTAAGCTCCAGGGTTGCTAAACTTAAGCTGCATTTTGTGGACTGACCTAGACACTTGTTACTCAAAACTCCATTTCTTTGGAAATATATTCCAGAGCTCAGGCGTCTAACTGAACTGAGCTGCAAGTGGTGTGTGAGAGGTCTCCAGTGTGTCTCTGTGAGGGAGAGTAGCTGGGAATCTAGTTTCTCTTTGGCTGGAGGTCAGTTAAAGAGACGGAGTGTGTAGCCTGAGTAGTAGTTTCGGTGGAGAGGGCCACAGGGCATTTGGTCTTCCCTCCTGTAAGTAAACGGAATTTGTCTTCCGAGGATGTGCCTGGTTCATCTCTGGAAAGAGTGGTGCTTTAACTATGAAGGGATGCTTAATAAAATAACATGCCTATCTCCCCTAGCATATGACCTTGAGAGACTTCTGAGAATCCATCCGTTGCTTCAAAAAGAAGTCTTTTCTGTGTGCCATTTGGCAGTGGACTCGGATGGGCGGTGGAGTGGAGGTCAGGCTAGTGCACGGCATTTCTCAGCTTTGGCGCTAAAAGCCGTGCTTTTACTTTCCCACATAAAAAGTGCCGTACAAGTTTCTGTGAACCCGCAAGGATGTGGCTTCATAATCCTCCACACCACATGTTGTTTCGCTCATTATTGGTGGGACTTACGCCGGGGAGAAGCCGGTGCTGACGATGAGGTGGCTGTGATTGCGTGATCAGATGGCTGCCGGGGTTGGGCTCAGCCCCCTCGGCACCGTCTAGACCTTTATCGGCACAGGCTTTCCCCCAGCGAGCATGTCTGTGTGTGAAAGAACACGACTCCCGCGTCCACGCACACGAGACGAACAGGGTAACCACTGTGCACACACAGCAGATCATTGTCTGGGAACAGCCATCAAGGACCTGAAGCGTGTCTTATTTGTGGAGGTAAACTTGGCCTCTGGCGGTGCCCAGCATACACAAGACACACTGTAAATATACAATTAGGAAATTACCGTTTTGTGACCGAAATCCATGGCATTTGTGTCAGGAAAACAAAACCTTTCAGCCATCGGTATGGCGGACAGTTGGTGTTGGGCATCAGCCCTCAAGAGGCCAAGGCTAAAAATTTAGTTCATAAACTCTCCATGTGCCTTTATATTTTACCACTGGAGGCTCTGGAAAAATAGCTGATAGAAACATAGAATAGCTATTCTTAGCTGTTCCTTATAAGCTTCCTGGCATAATGATAGATTCCAACTCAAACATTTGCCAGATACGTCTATAAAAGTTGCATGGATATGGTTAGTCATATACTCATTTATGAGTGTAAATGAATGAGTGAAAGCCTAAAAGTGAACAGGCATGGTTTTAGATATGTATCCTAATTTATGCACTAAGTCATGTGCTGAAATCAGTCCACTAATGGGTTGTGTTTCAAATTAACACGCACTCTGCCAACAGAGTCCTCACAGGAGTAATTCACAGCAGCTGCCTGGGGTACTGTGTGCAGATTGGCAAGGGTGCCTTTTCTTGATGGCCAATATTTGTAGATATTTTCGTGTTATGTCAGCCTTACTCAGAGGAAGGCTACTTTAGCCAAAGAAGGCATATTTCTGAACTCCCATGAATTTTTCGTGTCCCAGACGGGATTTGGGTCTTTGGTGGGTGTACCAGTGAAGCTGTGGTCAGCTTACCTTATCCCTCCATGCACATTGGACTGACAGCCAGCCGGGTAAGCAGCCTGGCACATCTTTTATAGTCTGTAGGGAAAATGAACCGTGGACCCTTGTCAGTGACATCAGCAACTCCTTAAGTATTTTTTAATATCAACTGCTAAAGCCATTTATTTCTTTAAATATTCTGAATTCCCTGGAAGTGATGGGGAGACTGTCATCTGAAATCATGGGCTCTAAGTTGTTGATTTAATAATTTATGGTACTTGAGGGACTTCCGTTGCACATGGCAAAAGGTAAATAATGGGACTGGAGGCTGTGCAGGGAGGGGCAGGTGCAGGATCTCCTTCTGTCCATTTTCTTTTCCCACTCATCAAAATGACTGGTTTTGTTCCCTAGCAGACAGTCTCCCCGTGCCCTGTGTGACTTAACTTTCAGGGTGCATGCAGGCTGGATCCCCACTTGGGTTGATCATACACAAAACCCTCCGCATAAAGATTTAAAGGAAGTGGGTCAACAAGTAACAGAGCAGAAAGACCTGGGTTAGATGGTGAAAGGAAGCAATAAGCTAATTTCTGAGTACTAATGGATTTTCCTTGATATCTCACCTAATTAAGTTATTCCATAGGTGCTACCTCAGAGAAAACAAGTGGGGTTTGGTGATCATAACCATAAAGGAATTTCCTCAGTTTGAAGTTCTGTGGAAAGCTACAGCAGTTTATAAATTACTAAAGTTTACTTCTCAAGAGTCTCAAAATCCTACTTAAAAATGGAAGAATTCATGCTCTTAACTGAAATTCTGAATGAATGAGTAAACTGACAACAATGAGTTTGCCCAATATCTCAGACAAGCAGCTAATCCTACTCCTAAAAATGCAGCTCCTAAATATTTAGACGACATAATAATTTGTGTTCAAAGGAAAAAAAATGGCCTAACAGCTGGAAGCTGGGTCATCTGGATTCCTGGCATTTTTTCCCTCTTCCCCAGTTGCACCAAATATTTTAGGATGCAGCTTTCCTAGATAGAGTATGTGTGGGTGCAGTGTTGTGTGAGTTCAAGGCAAATACTTCAATTTGCAGCACATCTAGAGACAGTGAAGTTGACCAGCATCCCACCAAACCTGCATGTTCTCCAACTCTGACATAATCTGGGGGTCTTGTGAAGGTGGTGTCTTGGAGACTTCAAAGTTCTGCTCTTCTGAAGAGCTGCCCTTGGGACCACACTTTGAGTAAGAAGGCTCTGGTTCCTTTCAGTCCTGACCTCCCAGGATTCTAGTTTTCTTTCATACAGCCTAAAGCAACACAGAAGTGGCCCAGCTTTGGGGCACCTGGGTGGCTCAGTTGGTTAAGCGACTGCCTTCGGCTCAGGTCATGATCCTGGAGTCCCGAGATCGAGTCCCACATCGGGCTCCCTGCTCGGCAGGGAGTCTGCTTCTCCCTCTGGCCTTCCTCCCTCTCATGCTCTCTGTCTCTCATTCTCTCTCTCAAATAAATAAATAAAATCTTTAAAAAAAAAAAAAGAAGTGGCCCAGCTTTGGCTCTCCACCCACCTCCATATGGGTAAAGTTTAAGTAGCCGCTTACCCAGTGCACACACCTGTGGGCTTCCATGTCTCCCAGGCCGGAGGGGAACTGTGATAGACCCTGATGGCTACCTCCCATAATGAGTGAGCAGGGATCTGGGAGGCATCTGGCTGAGTTACTCTGAGCAAAAGGAGGCAGTGAGTGTGGGCACATACGGTGTCCTGGGGAAGGGGTTGCAGAGTTGAGTGTGTGCTGTGTGTCAGGGCACACAGAATTTAAGCATGTTTGTTTCCTCATCCACATATGAAAACATTAGAAGTAATGACCCCAAAGATCACTTTCAAATTTAGAATCTGATCCTATTACTGTAAGATGGTATTTAAAAATATAGACACATTTAAACAATAAAAATGTTCTCTGGCCTCTGGAATAATGAGTAACTCTCAAACAGAAGGCGATTCTATTTCAGAGGAAGGAAGTGGGAGAGGGACATGCCAGGTGCATAGGGCATGGACCGGAGGGTGGACCAAAGCAGTGCTTGAAAAATAATCCGAGCTCTGTGGGACACGTATGCCGCCTGCCGTGGCTGAGCCCTGTGCAGCGGTGAGAGCCTGAGGGCCTTCGCGCCGAGCACCCCAGCTCCCTGCAGAAGGTGATGCTCCCGGTCTTACCGGCCACCTTGGTCAGTGCACCTGGACAAGGAGCTCCGCACGTGGTAGCTGCAATTATTTGTGGCAACTTTGCTGCCTGAGCAGAAAAACTTCCGCTTCACATGAAGTGGCTTATTTTTTTACTTTTCAGTTTTTGAAGGCAGGGCAGGAAAGTCTGGCCTGGATAGTCTGGATACTCTGGATAGTGTCTGAAAGCAGCTAGTAAGACACCTGGTGTGTCTGCACCACTTTCCTCCTGTGAGCCTCACGTGAAATGAAAGCTGTAGTCCCTACAAGAAAAATTGGTTTAGGGCTCTAACTGATGTCACTCTAGCATGTTTTGTGACGAGCACTAGCAACCACTTCTGGGGGAATAAGATACATTTTGTTAAAGATAGACAATCAGAACGCTGTAGCTGAGCTAGACTGAGAGGGGAACTCTGCATTTCTGGATTAGTGAAGAGCAGCATCTAGTCAGGGTGGCGTGGCCCAGGTCCACAGATTCTTTCTACTCCAGAGCAGACTACTCCACGGTAGTCATTTTAGCAACTCATTCTTAAAGTTTGTCATATTGAGTAGATACAAATATAGACATCATGCCAGAATTCATAAAACAAGAATGTGAATGGAAGAGTTCAGCCCATTCCGAGAGTTGATTAATTCTAGTGGATGTAAATTTTCCATTTGGCACTAGGTGCTACAGAATGCCGTCACCTTCTTCTATGGTCTGGTCACCCTAACCCTTAACTCCACAGTTAAGAGGGACTATATTTTAGCAAAGAGGAGATTTAGGAGGAGGGGTGGAAGGACATGAGAAACACATCAACATGTGCTGGTCTTTCCAAAGCAATTAGGATGCTGTCACTCACATGCAGGGATGGTGCAGTCTCTGGTGTTGTGGTAAAGTCTGTGAAAGTGTTTGCTGCACTTTGGACTGAAATAAAGAGGACCTGGAACATGGAAGAAGAAGCAGATTGTGAGGACTTGCAGGATGCCAGGAACTGGGCACAGGTGAAGGAATGAGGACACTTACCTGTAAGATGTTTTAGAAACTTGTCCTTCATCCTTAGATCTCGAGGCACAATTTCTGTTTGAAGGGAAAGAGGCTAATTATTGCATTGCTTGAAAGAAGCATTTGTTTTTATGTGATCTAAGTGAATGTTGAAGAGAGTATTGGAAACTCTTCATTAGCCATGTTACATTGCCCTAAATAAAACAGATTGGTTGTACATGACATAATGTGAAGACTTGTAATCAGGATCACATCTTTCTTCAGATAAAGTATTAGCTATTCACAAAGCTTCAATATTACTTGTCTTGTCTCTGCCGCTAGTATAAAGACAGTGACGATAAAGTTACATAAGGGGGAAGAGGTGCGCGCGCTCGTGTGTGTGTGTGTGTTCATAGCTTCTGATATATAAATCACTTTTAGGCATTTTCATTTTGGACAGCTTGGTAATCGAATGCCACAAGCTCTGAGAGTTCTAGAATGAAAACCCAATCCTTCAAGCAAAAAATTGTTATAAAACTTTTTTTCTAGGTATATATTTAGAAAAAGGATTAAATGCCTTCAAAACCACCTGTTACGAAGGCTGGTGTAAATGCATGGAAACACGTTTACCTGGTTAACAAGATTAAAGTAAAATTCCCGGGGAAAGACAGCTCTCAGTTTTTACTTGGGAATAGTGGGAACTCTCAGTTTTTACTTGGGAATAGCAGTGTTCCCACTGACATTCTTTCTGATCCAGGTGTTGTTTTTGCTTTTTTACAGTCACCTGTAACCATTTTCCACTCACTTGTTTTGGAGAATGACTTTTGCTATGATTGCATGTGGTCGCACTTTGTTTCACCACAAATACTCCTCATCTGAGGAGGGAACATTTCCTACGAATCTTCTTCACTTGCAAGGCTTAGGCATCTCCTGAATGTCAGTCTGTATGAAATTGACCTTATCACATTTGACCCAATTGTGTCATGAAAGCATTAAAAGCTTGCATGCTTTCTTTGGAAATTTCCCATGGGGCACCCACTCTGGGAAGGCTCTGCCATTGGCAGAGGAGGGTAAGGGGAGGGGGGTGGCCCTGAAACATTTCTGTCTCGGTTGAAAGTGCTTTGCTGAAAATATTTCCATTTCCTAAATAACAGATGACAGTTCTGTGCCAAAGCTCCCAACCTAGGTAATAACTCACGTGTCTTAGACGTGGAGTAGGGATAGTTATACGCCGAGGCATCATCACTTACCGACCTCCTATTTTCTTCTTAAAAAAAAAAAAAATGCCTAGTTTTTTTCAAACGATCGAAATGGTTTTATCTTGTTAAAATAGCTATGATTTCTCAATTTCCAAGCAAACACGAGTTCCGGTGTCTCCTGAGACATGACGGGTACGCAAACATGCTGGAGGTTCCCAGTGCACTGCACACACCCAGAGAAGCCTCGGAGGCAGGTCACTCGGTCCGCAAGCCCGAGGCAAGGGCACTCACCCACTCTCTGCTCCTCGGGATAAACCGGGTAGTCCGAGACCTCCCTGCGGCCCAGAGTGTAGTCGTGCTGGCCCAAGAGGTGCAGTCTCTTCGACTCGCCCGAATGGTACTTTTTGAGCTCCTGGAGGATCTCCACGATGAGCCGCAGCAGGGTCTGTCTGTCGGCCGCCTCCCGGGGCTCGGCGACCCCGGGCCCCGCCGCCCCCAGCACGAGCAGCAGCCCCAGGAGGAGGGGGCGCCCAGGCCCGCGCATCGTGCGCTCGCTCGGCCGGAGGGAGCTCGGCTCGCTGGAGGGGCAGGGTGGGGGTGGGGGTGGGGGGGAAACCGGGAAAGAAAGTCGGCGGCGGGGGTGGAGGGGAGGAGAGACTCTCCGGCTGAGACCGCGGCCCCTCGCAAGCCCCGGCTGCGACGCGGTGTCCCCGGGGCCCGCGCGGGACCCGCGCAGGCCCCGCTGCGGGGATGCCGAGAGCCTCGGCTCGGGCGCCGCCGCCCTCCTCGGCGCGCCTCCTCCCGCCCGCGTCCCGCCCCCGCGGCGGCCCTCCCAACTTTCCGAGCAATGGCACATCCGCCTGCACTTCTCCGCGCACGGCACCGACACAACTTTCTTAACCTTTAAAGCCACGCGGCGCTGCGGCGTCTCCTCCGCCTGCGGGGCGGGCGCGCACCCACCCGTCCAGGAAGGCTGGAGGACGCAAGGACCGTCCTGCCCGCGGACCTATCGCTTCCCGACAGGGCTCCGCTGCGCTCTCGGGTGAGTGGGGGCCGCGCGCCCCGCCCGAGCGGCTGCGCTCAAGTTTGCAGCAACGCCTTTGTGTGGTGCTCGCCCCTCCTCCCGGCCGGGTGTCCCCCAAAGGCCCCCCCACCCCAGGACCCTCGCTCCAGCCGCCCGCAGTGCCAGGTTTTAGAAACCACCGGCCCTCGGGGAGGGGAGGGAGCCCGGCCCACACCTGCCCCGCGCCGCCCGCGGGGCCACCTGCGCGTCGGAGCCCGGCCAGATTACCTGTCCCCGTGTCCCGGAGCCGCGGGCGTCCTTCGGCTTCTGTCCCGGTGTCTGTTCCCGCGTCCCGGAGCTGCCGCGCGCCCCGCTACTCCATGCCCCGCGGCGACCCGGCGTGCGGAGCGCACAGGACGCGCGGGGATGGAGACTCGGTGGCTCGCCCGCTCGGAGCGCTGGACGCGCGGCTGCCTGGGCTGCGCTCCGACCGCGGCCGCTTCTTATCCCCGCGCCCGCCGACGTCAGGCCGGTCCCCGAGGGCTCCGCGCGGGGCTTTAATTAGAAGCCGCTCAACTGTTCGTACCCCTGTGCGGATCTTCGTCAGACACCCCCCCCATCTCCTCCCATCTCTCCCTACCCCCTTCTGTCTCCCCCTCTCCCCCGCTCTCTCTACCCCGTTCTCTCTCCCTCTGCCCCATCCCCTCCCCTCCCCCATCTCCTCCTCCGTCATCTCCTCCCCCTCCCGTCCCTCGCCTCCCTCCCCTTCGTCTTCCCCTCCCCCTTCTCTCCCTCAGTCTGTTTCCCTCCGTTCCTGTCACTGTGACAGGATGAGAAGAAACGCCTTTACCAGGAACTCAGATCTGTTTTTGTCTAAATGTAGATCTTGGGCTATTAAAAAATGAGCTGCCTGATTGCCTCGACATTTAATAAGTCAATTAGAGTCTATCCTTTTTGGAGGAATCTTTCGGCGTGGCTGGGGGCCACTCTCAGGACCCCAAGAGGTCTGCACCGCCCCACGGCCTGCAGCAGGAGGCCGGGTCCCTGAGGCCGGGCAGCCCCCAGGGCAGGGGCCTGGGTTCAGGGTGGGACACAGGCAGCGCTCTAGTAACCTCGGGATGTACACAGTTACCTGGCAGGACACGTGGGAGCCCCTCCTCAACATGCATCCCCCCCAACCCACGCGGAAGGACGAACCGAAGCCCCTCCCGCAGGGGACCCTGCGGCCCGCGCTCCGCTCGCTCCCCTTCCTCAGAAACGCCCGCAGGAGACCTCCTGGGGCACCTCCCTCCAGGCCTAGTCTTTCCAAAAGTTTTGGTTCTTTGGATACAGGCAGGCACATTTGTGAGGCTTCAACAGTTTATCTCCTGTAATTTTTTTTTTTCTTGTAAAATGTATTATCAATCAATTGCGCGCTTTCCCATTTTATTGGCGCTTTCTGGGCAAGCGCTGGACACCCTCCAAGTCAGTGGTCTGACTGGGGAAGGCGTTCTCAGTACGGTACCAGAACGGGGGGTGCGCGCAGGAATTAAAAGCCTCCACCCTTAACAGGACCAGCACCCAGGGCCCCCGGGCAGAGGTGCTGCGGGCACGTGGTGCGGACCCCGAGCCAGGCCTGCGGGTCGCAGGGGCGGGAACCTCCAGGGCACGAGCTCTCTCTGTGCATCTCTGTGTCTCTCTGTCTCTGTGTCTCTCTGTCTCTTCTCTGTGTCTCTGTCTCTCTGTATCTGCTCTCCCTTTCCATCTCTGTCTCTGTCTCTGTGTCTGTCTCCCTGTGTCTGCTCTCTCTGTTTCTGTTTCTCTCTCTTTCTGCTCTCTCTGTCTCTGTGTCTGCTCTGTCTCTCTGTCTCTGTCTCCTTTCACTAATTCTGTTTCCTCGGGAAAACAAAGTGTTTGTCAAAGTGAGGCTGGGGTAAATAGAATAGAGACAGAAGATACTAAAATGCGATCATCTAAATCCCACCCCCCACACACCTTTTGGGGGGATGTGTTTATATTCTGCTCTCTTTAAAAGGAAATGGTTATATTTCTCAGTGAGCACTTCTTTTGGCAGGCAATATGACTAAGATGTGAATGTTTTTGTTAAGATATCCTCCAAAAGAAGAAAGAAAGAAGGAAGGAAGGAAGGAAGGAAGGAAAGAAGAAAGGAAGAAAGAAAGAAAGAAAGAAGGAAGGAAGGAAGGAAGGAAGGAAGGAAGGAAGAAAGAAAGAAAGAAGAAAGAAAGAAAGAAGAAAGAAAGAAAGAAAGAAAGAAAGAAAGAAAGAAAGAAAGAAAGAAAGAAAGAAAGAAAGAAAGAAAAAGGAAAATTCTTATCAAACAGTTCTTAGGCAGGTAAAGTAGGATTTTTTTTTTTTCCTTTTTCCGCTTCCCTTGAAGGAGGGGTGAGCTTCTGTTGCTGAAGCGCCGCCTAGTGACAAAAGCTTCCCTCTGCGGGCACTCAGCAGTGGCCCCGGGGTGGAGGAGCTTCCTTTCCACCCAATAGAAGGAGCACATGAAGCTTCTGTTGTAAAACATTTTGGTGTAAAACTGCTTTTGGGGAAAAAAAAATACTGCTATAGTAAAAAAAGAAAACAAGAATTTAGCCTAATCATATATTATTTTAAGTTTACAGAGTCTTTCCTTTTAAATACTATTTTACAAAATCAGGTGAAATCAATGAAGAGTATTAAAAGGTACAAAGTTCCTGTTTATAAGTTGCAGGGATGAAAAGTACAGCATAGGAAATCATATTGTAATAATTTGTATGGTGACAGACAGTAACTACACTTCTGGTGAACATTTTCTAATGTATATCATATTAAATCACTATGTTATATACCTGAAACTAATATTATGTGTCAACTATACTTCAATTAAAGATAAAAAAAATAATTTTTTAAATTTAGGTTTTTCTAAAAAGTACCAATTAGGACTATTCCCCCCTCCCCAAATTCTACCAACCAAGGAAGCCTTGCTAGTAATTAATATTGTCCTTTTTTCTTTTGTGGTTCTTAATGGGACAAATGGATTTTTTGAATGAGTCTATTCTACCACCCAGTTATATATGCCAACACTTTAGCCCAACTCATCAGATACTTACATGCATAAACAACAGCAACAAAACTGGTGCTTTGTTGATGTTTAGTTTCATGAGATCTGGCAGTTAGGGATCAGACCATCATGTTTTAATTCATTCATTTTTGCAAAGCTCTGTACTGAAATGATTCCAGGAGCCTTTCATTCTGTATAAACCATTTTTACAGACTTTCTCAACTAAATAAAAAAGTGCACTGAATTATAATCTCTACTGAGCTGCCCAATTTATGGTATTGTCAGGAAGAACCCCTTGGAGTTCTCCAATCACCAGAAACATTCTGATTGGCTAAATTAATTGTGCTGGTTAAGGCAAAGCAAAGTATGTAAACTGGCTTAGGTGAAAATATAAAGTTATATTTGACAAATGGCTTAGGCTCTCCACTTCTTTCCTATAAAATGGCGTGGTTGAACTGGATGGTCTCTGAAGTCTAAAGCTGTATAATTCTGATTGTTACCAAAAAACCAGAAAACAAAAAATGCAGTATTCCTACAAAGAGCTGAAAATAATTCACTAAAAGAGTCACTATGAGTTTCATCATCTGTTTTCGTGCAAGAAGAGGTGATATATTCATCTTAAATAATTTAATTCCCTCCTTTGTAAGTGAACAACTTTCTATTATGAAGGGTCCAAAAGAGATAAGATAGTAACAGTATATTTTAAGCATTATTGGCCAAAGTAACTTTTGCTAGATTTGATTTAGTTTTGTTTCCTTTTTGAGAAAACTATGTTAGCTCATAGAAAGAAAACTAACAAGAGAGGGGAAAGTTGTGTTTAACCCACTTTTATTGTAGATCTATGTTGTAAGATGGGCAAGTTATTTTTTAAATTTATAAATAGTATAAAGTTCCAAAGTTTCAATTACAATTTTTCTCTCTTCCTGAAAAGGTATAAATTTTATTTGAGATGACTATTAACTACCTTCAAACACTAATAAAATAGATATATATTAACTACATGTTTTTAAATGAAGTATTAGTTCAACCATTATGTTGATTATTTAACAATCTAACTAAGATTCTATTAGAGAGAAAAACTACTACCTTTCATAAAGGATAACTTTATGTGCTATAAAGAAATGTCACTTAATATTTAACTTTCATCAGTTCTGTTATTGTTGCTATTGATATATTATTAGTACACTGGGAATGTACTAGAAAGTATATAAAGCATTTAGGAAGACAAGATTTCTAACAGGACCAATCTTTATGGTGTAAATGTAAACAGTGTAATCTCTTATAAGTAATAATGTGTGCATGCTCTCTAGCAGTTTATTCTAGATGAATGAAATACAGCCTTCTACCAAATTCTTTCTCTCCTATGTAGAGGAAGCACATTATTGTAAGGATATATAGGTCATCCACCTCCTTTTCATTTTTTGATACACACTTTTGCATCTGCAAAGCCACACTGCAGTGCAAGTCCAGGAGAGATATGAGAGCCAAAGGTTATGTATGAAGGCTTGAG